TTTTTTTTTGTTTGAGCAAACACTGAGATCTTTTTCTATAAAAGAAATTTCATGTTCAGTTCTTTTACTTGATATTAAGGTGATTTTTAAGTAAGAATTATGCTTCTTATTGACATGAGACATCTAGGCTTGAAAGTGTCACAAATATCAACTCATAGAGCAGAGTCTCTTTATTCTCATTAAGAATCAGGCTATTTGCATGTTTATTCATTACTGGTCTGTTCTAGCCATGTCTTTTTGTTTGTTTTAGCGCCTCTATACAGAAGCTTGGGATAAAGATAAAACCAGTGTCCACATTATGCCAGACACCCCTGAGGTTTTACTAGCTAAACAAAACAAAATAAATTACAGTGAGGTAAGCATTATACTCATAGTGCATGATATATTTTCCTGACAACATATTTTATAAATCAAATTTATGATTGTTGATGTCTCTTTCAGAAACTATATAAACTTGGTCTAGAAGAAGCCAAGAAGAAAGGCTATGATATGCGGTTAGATGCTATTCCTATCCAGGCAGCCAAGGCCTCCAGAGATATTGCAAGTGAAGTAAGTCCAGCTGAAATGTTCTTGGCTTTGGCTCTGGCTCAAAGATTTCTTTCTCTCTCCTGGATTTATAGTAAAGCAAGTAAACTATGAGGTTGAAGCTGTTGCTAACAGTTTATTTTTTCAGTAAATAATTTAAAATAATGGGAATACAATTCTCAACACAAAGGTTAAATTCTAGCTATGCTTGTGTCAGTAGCAATATGTATTTCAAAATATGTTTATTTTCTGGGCCGGCCCCGTGGCGCACTCAGGAGAGTGCGGCGCTAGGAGCGCAGCGACGCTCCCGCCGCGGGTTTGGATCCTATATAGGAATGGCCGTTGCGCTCAGGTGCGCTCACTGGCTGAACGCGGTGCGGGCGACACCAAGCCAAGGGTTGCGATTCCCTTACCTGTCACGAAAAAGACAAAAAAACNTCAAAGTTCCCCTAAAGTGAGGGGAATTGAGTTTACACAACTGAGTTTTCCTTCCCGGGACTAATGCCAAACTCTATCCAGTCACCCACACATCTGGAGGCACCATTATTCCACAAAGACAGAACCAGCAAAGCCCCCATTGCTTTGGTGGAAGCCTCTAGATTGTTGATCTAGGCAATCGAAGAATTTATTCATTTCTGTTTAAAATGTTTTTGAAAATATGCTTCTACTCTGTATATTGTTGATTTATAATCCATACAAAATTTTAAAATTTACCAAGAATTCAAACATTAAAATATATAACATATATTATTATAAACTTCCATTTCTTCAGAGGCATATGCTTACATTTAGGGATTTGTTACTTGCAATTTCAGAATTTGTACAAGGCTGATCTTCAGTGGCTAAGAGGCATTGGCTGGATGCCCAGTGGGTCTCTTGAGGATGAGAAGAACAAAAGAGCAACCCAGATTTTGAGTGACCACACTTACCGTCAGCACCCAGATAATTTCAAGTTTTCCAGCCTTATGGACTCCATACCAATGGTTCTGGCAAAAAACAATGCTATTACCATGAACCATGTAAGTCTTTTCTTTGCTCCAGGGAGGTATTAATTTTTTTTT